ATAATAATAATAATATATTATATACTTAATAATAATAATAAATATTATATACTTAATGATAATAATAAATATTATTATTAGGACAGTTATTACATATAAATATTATTATTACTATTATTATTATAAATTACATACTGTAAATACAATTATTATTATTATCATTATTATAAATAATATTCTTGAACAATTTCCGTTTCAGTACTCGAGGGAGCGAGACAGGATGCTGTCTGCTTACTTCGTCTGTTCCGGCTTCGTGTACATGGTGGTCGTAATTGCCGTGGCAATCACTCTGCATGGGTAAATAACAAGCTCTACATTTTTCAAAATCGATACCCATTCTGTTTTTCGTCACCGATCCATCGCGAACTGTCACGCCTCACGTTAATTAACTCCGTCCCAATTAACACGAATGCACCCAATTCATATCGTGCAACTGTTTCGACCGAATTGCTGGAGTCAATATCATTCTTTTACAGGGGCGTGTATTTTTACACGTGCGTGATGGTGAGCACTATACTAATCGCGGTGATCAACGGTGTCCTCCTGGCGGAGACGAACGAGGTGAGTTCTGGACTTGTTGAAATTGAGAGTAATTCGATATATGAGGCACAATCGATCGGGGAGAAGAGAGATACTCTCTCTCTCTTTGGAATTTTGCCACTTCCTCTTGACCTTGAATCCGTGGCGGGATTCCAGGTCATCGATTACATCTGTGGACACACACACATACACGCTCGCGCACATACAGATGTGGTTGCAGGATTATATGCAACGAGTCGTGATTCTTAACTTCTTCTTTTTTTTTTAGAGGGTGCCGCAGTGTCTTCGAGATTACGCGCTGCACGTGTTCGAGAATCGCCGGGTGGCTCAGACTCTGGCCACGTGCGTCGTCTTCCTCACCTTCGCCACTGCTCTATCGCCATTGGTAAGAAAAATTGGTAATAGACGCTTCAGCCATTTTGATTATTTTAGGTTATTTCAGGCGGGGTAAAACACGTACTTAAGGTG